TTGTGCCTGTCCACAACTTTATCCCGGAGATCTTTTGACAGTGCCTTGCCACCTATAGGTGCTTGTTTGCTTCAGTTGCACTACCAAGGACTGGTAGAACCAAGGACTAAAATGCTCCAGGAAAACTCTTTTCATGCTGAGCTAATCAAAATGACCACAGCTGATCACAGTTGAAAGTTAAATGGCTTTGTGTGCCACTGAGAAGGTGATTAGCTGCACATGATTGAGTTTACAAGTCATTTTTAGGATGGGGCGGGTGATCCTTTTTCCAACACAGTGAATCTGGTTTTTAATTTTTTTTCTGATACGTTGCTGTTATATCTTTTACTTGGATGTTATAAGTTGCACTGAGTAAATACAGCTGGATAAAACAAAAACTGTGTCCGCAACAAAAAGCAACACAATGTGATTATTTTAAAGGGAGGTGATTCTTTTCTATACCGAGACACTCAGTTGGACATTATCACGAAATAACCCCCTCAAAATGATCCCTGATCCCATCTGGGTTTATTTTGGGTTTACTTAGCTGACTGTTTAATAACCTTTCCAAAAGCTAAAAAAAAGGGGGGAAAAAAACAAAACAAAAACACGAGAAACATACAAGACTCAATGTTTATGAAAGGACTACAGAAATATAAAACGCTTACCTCTTCCAAACTGAAAAGCACCCCTCCAATAGGAGCACCAAACGCTACAGACACTCCCACTGCAGATGCTGCAGACAACACCTAATACACAAACAAAAATGTATATTTACTCATTTACATTCCATTGCATTCTTATTTCCCAAGTAAAATAAAATAAAGAGCACATTCACCATCCTAAATTCATGAACAATGAATTATACATCAGCCTAGATAGTCTAGAAAAAGCCTTGTCTGTTTGCTATTTCGATTACCAAATCGGCGCTGGCAACTTCCAGCACATCAGTTAACAGAGACCAAGCCAAGAGGCTTATATCAATGTATTACATTACAAGTTTTGATCCAAGATGCAAAATACTTTGTTACTTTTCCGTCAGTCTATCCCACACTCCCCTCTCCCTTATCTCTCCATCACTCCTCTCCTTATCTCCCGCCCCAGTTCCTCTCACCTCTCGTTTCTTGGCCTCATTTCGACGGTATTTGGTGAAGAAATGGCATAGGATGTTTGCGCAGCAGCAGGCTACATGAACCAGCGGACCCTCTTTCCCAAGACTGAGGCCAGACGAGACGGCCAGCACCAGTGTGATGGTCTTTATGATCAAAGTCCACTTCCCCAGGTAACCCCGAATTATAAAGCCACTCAGGATGGTCTTAATCTGCAAGAATTAAAGACTGGTAAATCAGGATTCAAAATTATTCGCAAAAACTGGCCATTTTCCAGACCACAAGTTGAAGAACGTTTTTTAAAATTCACTTAAGCAGTTATTCTTGGCATATAAACATGTCTTAATGGACCGTTTTAAAAACAGCCATTAAAAAATGTCCTTAAATCTCTTCTGACAACTCCTCCACATGAATTTAGATCAGTAGTACAACTACAACAATCTAACATGGGGTTTTGTCAGACAGACAGCGTGACTTATGTCAGAAAGCCCTTCATTGTTCTCTGCCAAAGGTTAGAAAGCAGAAGCAATTGTGGTTGAACATCTGAAAACTTGTGAAAATTGTGGAACTGTCGAAAACTGTGCAATATACAGATATAATCTCTATCCAACTGCTTGTCTCCATTCACTATCTCACTTTACTCAGACAGTTTGAAATAAAACTGAAGAAAGAGTTTGAGGTATAAAGTGGCTACTACTTAACAGGGGGGTGTTTTTGAAGTCACGTATAATGTGAAGCTGAAGTGACAAAACAGAAAAGTCCTAGAATGAGTGGTTTGTTGGGAAAAGAGCTTGAATGTGTGGAAAGATACATGACGCATTGTGTGTGTGAGCGTTTGAGGATCAGCTCACCTCTGGTATTCCTGAACCGCAAGCATAAGGGGCGAAGGCTCTCACAAGAATCACAGCCAGGAAGGCGAAGAGAAGAGCCCAGCTCACATACATGAAATGATTCAGCACATTTACCCTGCCCTGCTGCAGGACACACACAGGATACAAGTGAAACAAAAGGATCTTATACACTGTCACCCCCTACAGGACATATCCATAGTTAGAGGCCACAATTGTTTTTACATACCACATACTATTTACTCACATCCTGAAGTCTATGAAACATGATTCATAATTTTGAGTCTAAAAAATAATAAAGAAATTAATACTGGTAGATTTGAGGAGTCGTACATCCCAATTAAGGCTTGAACCTCCCTCCCCAATGATGTGTTGGTTGAAAAGTCTTTAAAGGGGTCATATGATGCGATTTCAAGTTTTCCTTTCTCTTTGGAGTGTTACAAGCTGATTGTGCATAGATAAGATCCCTGAAGTTGCAAAGACTAAAGTCTCAAAACCAAAGAGATATTCTTTATCAAAGTTAAGACTCTGCCACAAATAATGATCTTTAAAAAAGCATCATATGACCCCTTTAAAACAATGCCTCGCATCCTAAAAAATTATCTACAGAAATTACTTTAAAAAAAAGGCTGCTAAAATTCAGGATATGTGAATAAAAGTTTAAATTCAAAGAACATATGCTGCCAGTTTTAATATAATAATACATTTTTTGAATTTTAATATAATTTTTAGCAAAAATATAATTAAATCTAAGATTAAAATGCGAAAATCTCTTCAAAAAAAGAATATTGTAGCTTTCTCTTCATACCACAAGGGGGTGATATACACTACCATACAGAAGTTTGGGGTCAGTCAGATATTAGAAAATATAAGGGACACATTAAATTGATCAAAAGTGACAGCAAAGACATTTCTAATGATATAAATTATTTTATTTCAAATAAATGTATTTTGAAAAAAAGCATCACTGTTTCCACAAAATTAAACTGCACAACTGTTTTTAACATTGATAAGATGAAAAGTTTGTTGAGCACCAAATCAGCAGCTTAGAATGGTTTCTGAAGGATCATGTGACACTACTGGAGTTTTTAAATCAGTGATGCATTACTTATATATATATATATATATATATATATATA